GGGACGGCCGCGATGCCAGGCGCGCAGCTCCCAGCCCGGCCCGCGCAGCAAGGTGTCTGCGGTCGAGGCAGCGCGAGGCTGCAGCTCCGTCACATGTGTCGGCCGCTTCCTCCGGCAGCACCGCACCGAGTGCTGGCAGCCACCGGTAGCACCAGCTACCAGCACCGCGGCCTCCCGAGAGCCCCCCGGGACAGCAGGGCCAAGCCCCCCCCCCCCCCCCCCCCCGGGCCACCCCATGGCCGATGGGCTTGTGGCCACCAGCGGCACCAATCGATGTGGCAGCCACCCGGACGCCGAAAACGGCGAGTCACCGAGGGGAGCAGGGGGACAGCGCCTGGCGCTGCGGTCCTCCCACGGCGGGCAGACGTCCCGGCAGAGCTACACGCCATGGCGGCTCCTCCGTGCTGGGAAGCTCCCCGGGGGAAATCTGGGTGAAGCTCCCCCTCCCTCTGCCCGGGGGTGGCCCCGGTGCAGGGGGAGACCCGAGGGGTTCAAGTCACCCAGGTCTGGTGGGGTTCAGGGGTGCTGGGGCCAGAGTGGGGCAAACCACCAGCATCTCCTCTGCACAGATGCACCAGCTGGGCTGGTCCTGCGAAGTAAAGCCACAGCAGGGATGGAGCCAGGTTTCCCTCATCCAAGCCAGCCCTCTATAAGAAAATGGTAAAAACAAGTAATAAAGGATGCTCAGTCGAGTCGATAAAAAGGAGAAGGAGGAGGGGAAGGCGCGGGGCCGTGTCTGAGCAGGGCCTCGGCTGCCTCCAGCGCAAGCAGGAGCCTGGGGCGGGCAGAGTGACTCGAGAAAGGAAATTGCTGCGTTTGTGGTCGAGCAAGGCTGAGCACCGCGGTGTGCGCTCCAAGCGCGCCGGCAGCCGGGAGCTGAGCTCGCCCAGCCCCAGCACGTGAGCCGGCTCCCTTGGCAGTGCTGGTGCTGGGCATCCAGGGATGAGGGAGACCCAGGACCTTGTGGCCATGCGGGGACCCCAGCTGGCCGGCAATGAGGGTGCTCCCGGCATGGGGAACCCCTTCCCACGTGGGACAGGCACCCGAGGACACAGAGAGGAGGGAAGGAGAGCCAGGGAGGCAGGCAGGGGGGACACAGTGAAGACTGGAAGAGGCAATGATGGAGGGTTGCACCAGGACTGAGATCCAAAGCCCGCTTCGGTGGCTTTGGCACAAAGCCGTGACTGAGCTTGCTGGCGATGCCGGCAGGGGAGGTGCTCTCCGGGCTGTGGGATGATGCTGGCAGGCAGAAAACGTGGGCAACTTTCGGGACTGGAGCTGAACATGAGGGCAGCAGCACGGGCACGGCAGCACTCGCTCTCAGCCACTGAAAACAGCCTTTAGCTGTCAGACACGCACAGGGAAGGGAGGGAGGGACCGACTGCAGGAGCAGGACTGAGCACGAGGCAGGTCCCACCGTGCTCTCGTTCCCAAAATACCTGGCTCTGGGGGGCTGGGCCAGCGCAGCATGCCCACGTTTGGGTGCTGAGTGGAGCGGCTGCGTTGCAGAGCCCCTGTGTTTCCCCAGCAAGTGCCCAGCCCGTGTGCCACGACAGCAGTGCGGCGTGGTCCTGGGCTGCTCCCAGCTCGGCGGTGCCAGGCTTAGCGCTGGAGCACCCGCCACGGGTGCCGGAGCAGGGGCTCTCAGGGCTGCTCAGTCCTCAGCAGCACCGCGCAGCACCGCGCTGCGCAGCCCCTGCCCTGGGAACGCCGTGCCAAGCGGCTGCGCATGGACCGAGAGCAATGCCAGGTCTCTGCATCCCAGGTCCCGGGGGGCTCACAACACACGGCGGCTCTTGGGGGCGGGGGCAGGAAGGGTGAGGCTGTGCCAGCCAAAAAACTCTTCAA